CCATGCCACAAATGCTACAATATCTAACATAAACGAGTAAAGCCAGAAAAGAATAAGGTATCATGTGACACTCAGAGGCTTGTGCCTGACAACCCAAGTTGCTGGTCCTAGAGCAGGTGGCTACGCAGCTTTCTACCTAACAACATACAACAATTTGAGCACAAGTGTATCTATCTTTTCCCTTTTGCCCAATAGAAAAATAACGAGAGCCTCATACATAATTTAAATTCCCCAACCCCATAAAAAGGTAAAGAGGTGGGCCGGGGATTTAGCCCAGTGGTTCCCTCGCCTGCCTTGCAAGCTCAAGGACCTGAGTTCAATCCCTGGTACCAAAAAAAAAAAAAAAATGTTAAAAAGGTAAAGAGGTGAAATTAATTTTAATTATATATTTTCATTGACTCACAGTTCCAAAGTACTATTATTGCAACATGTACTCAATCTTTAAGATTCTGTAGATATTTTCCACTCACAACAATAGAAAAAAATATGACACTTTGCAGTTGGGAAAGCATTCACTGAATTAAAATGACCCGCTTTCTGATTCCCTTCTGTCAAATATATTCTGTGGGACTTTGGTCAAGATCATTAACTTCTATAATCTCAGGTTCCTCATAAATGACACAACAGTGGTATCACAGAGGTAGGGTAAGAATTAAATGGAACAACACATATAAATGGCTTGACAGATTGTGTGTTATTTTGTATGGCTGCCAGAGCAAAATATAACAGTGAGTGCCTTGAATAACCAGCAACACTTTCTCATAGTTCTAGAGGCTGGAAGTCCAAGATTAAGGTGCCAGTGGGGTGGGTTTCCCCTAACCCTTCTCTCTTGGTTTGCGTTCAGCCATGTTGACTGTGTCCTCACGTAGTCACACCTCTGTTGGGGCAGCCCTGGTGCCTCTGAGTGTGTTCTCCCCTCTCCTCATAAGGACATCAGCCATGTTGGATTAGAACCCACCCTACAGCCTTCTTTTAACTTAGTGATCCAATTAAAGGCCCTATCCCCAGATACAATCACATTCTGAGGTACTGATGGTTAGGGCTTCAACAGTTGTGTCTTGGGAGACACAATTCAGCCCAAAACATTCTAGGAAATGCCATCAATGTATATGAATATTATGGATTCACATAATTTTCAAATGAAAGACCATTTATTCCTATCTTTATTTATTCATTCACTTAATCATTAAAAATATACAAGTCAGTGGACTTCTAAGTGCTAAATAATGAGCTCCCTGTTCTGCAAAGGGCTCCCTTTCAAGCTGGGGAGACAAAGAAAAACATAGTCATAGTTTAACCTGATGAACCCATCTTGGCTCTCTGGCCATGATTGTGTGTGCTTAAACAGCAGCCTTGGCTGTGTCTGACAGAAGGACTTGCATTGATATCACTAATATAAGGCAAGAAATATAAAATCATACTGCCAAGGAAAAAGAGAATTCATTTGTCTCAACTACCTATTCGCAAGTGCTCCTTCCCACCATAGTAATCCAACTTGAAAACTGAGACCCAGAGGCTTAGAGGGAGCACTGAGAGGGGACAGAAAACCAGCAGCCATGCAAACAAGAGAGATTGAGTGCTAGGTAATTGGTGTCCTTCAGGCAGTAAACTGGATGGAGATTTTGCCTTAGAGGCAGAATCGATGTGCACCAGTGCTTAAAGCATGACCTTTGTTACAGTAGCTTTGTAGTATAGTTTCAAGTTGGGTATTGTGATACCCTCAGCCATGTCTCTGTTGCCTAGAATTGCTTTTGCTATTCTAGGTCTCTTCTGGTTCCAAATGAATTTTTGGATTGTTTT